GAAAATCTGGCACAATCACAATACCATTGTTAGAGTTCATTATGTTCTAAACACAAGGCAATTGTCATCAGTCTGTGGCTTCTCTTTCATTCTCGAAGCTCTGATTTTTAACAAAGTTTTTGCTTATTTTTTGATAATTACAGTTTCATATATGCACGTAGTGTTTAGATCACATTCACCCCATCGCCCTCTTTTATCCCTCCCCCATGCCCTCTGAAACCCTCTTTCCCCCAACATTCTTCCCTCAAGAGCCCACTGTGCATAATGAGGCTTGCTTGTGTGTGAATGCATATGGGTTCTTCTTTATTATTTTATTTTTGCAGTGTTGAGAAATGAATCTATGAGGCTTCCACATGCTAAACAAATATTTTACCATTAGGCTACTCCACTGTCTTGTGTGTGTGTGTGTGTGTGTGTGTGTGTGTGTGTGTGTGTGTGTGAGAGAGAGAGAGAGAGAGAGAGAGAGAGAGAGAGAGAGAGAGACATTTACTGGATCATGAACAATTTAGCGGTGCTTAGAACTCTGAAGAAAAATGATTGTTCCTCTCTAATCAGCCATTAATTTCTCATGGCTTCTTAGCTGGGGGTGGGGGGTGCGTCACAAGCCTGTCCCACATCCTTGCTGATTGATTAGACCTTGTGTGAGTTAACCAGAGCTGCTGTGAGATCATGTCACGTCCACAAGGCAGTTTCTCAGCACCCCTCCCCACTCTCCAGCTCTTACATTCTTTCTGCCCTCTTTGGCAGGAATGATTTGGATGTCTTATTTAGGGCCGAGCTCTTAACAGTCACTTATTTTCAGCCTCTCAGTGTTTTGACCAGTTCTAAGTCTCTGTGTTAACCACTCCCACTCCAAGTTAGCACTGATTTTTGAGTAGAATTTTTCATTTTAAACTTTCATTTTGTATTATTAGCATGTACACACACACACACACACACACACACACACATGCATGCACACATTCACACTAATAAACAGGCATAGGCAGGCATGTGCCACATCATATATTAGAGGTCTGAAGACAATTTTAAGAGTTAGTCCTCACCTTCCACCATAGGTTTGAACTCAAGTTGTCAGACTCATCAGCAAGTGCCTTCACACACTAAGCTATCCTGTCAGCACTTCCTTCCTTCCTTTTTTCCTTCTTTCTTTCTTTCTTTCTTTCTTTTTCTTTCTTCCTTTTTTCTGAGGCAGGGTTTCTCTGTAACAGACCTAGCTGGCATTAAAGGCATACACCACCACTGCCTGGCGTACTTGCTTTTTTGAGCCTTGTTATCATGAATGTGCAGGAAGTGTATGAAGTTTTTTAATTTAGTGAATTACAATTCCCCAGACTTTTGAAGATGTATATGTGGCCAGGCATGTATCCGTGAATGTTTCATATTATTTGGTATTATAACTAGTTAATACTGATTTTTGAAAATTGAACCTTTCACGAATCCCTGACATGAATCCAAGACAAAGCCTTATGTTCCCCATGTTTGCTGTCTTCCATTTGCTATTCTGTTTATAGAGTTTTGTATTTCCGTTCAGGAGAGATACTTGCCCCTTTCAAACTTTGCCTCAAGTAGGAAGTAGAGCAAGGGTAACAGAAATACCTGGACATTTGTGTAGAGTTGTCATTTCTTCCTTAAACACATAGGGAATTCATGAGAGAGGCTACGCACAGCCAGGGGTTTCTTTATGTGAGTTTTGTCTTTCGTTTTTAAAGTGTTTGTGGATATATACGTCATGGCACACTGCAGGAGTTGGTCCTTCTACCATGTGGGTTTCAAGGTCTGAACTCTTGTTGGCCCCTGAGAAGCTTTAAATTACAAATTTGTTTTCATACATGTAGGGCCATTCAGACTGTTTTTTCTTGAGAAAGCAGCACATTAGCCTCTCCTAACTTTTCAAATTGGTTGGCAAAATTGTTCCTGATATTCCTTGGTAGTGCTTTTAACTTACACGGACAACCTGATGTCACCTTCTTGTTATTTATACCTCATGTTGCCTCCTCCCTTCTGCTCAGTTTACCTGGTGAGCTTTCTTAAGTCCCAGTTTCAAAGCCATCACCGATTGTTCCTGTCTTATATTTACTTTTATTACTTATACCGGATCTAATTTTTTTGTCTTTCAGTTTATGGGTGGATGATGCTACATGTATCTGTTTGTGCACATTCATGCAAGCATGCATGTATTCGTGTGCGTGTGGATGACAGAGGTTGGCGCTGGGTGTCTTTCCTGCTTGTTCTCCATCTTATTTTTGAGACAAGGTGTCTCACTGAACCTGGAGCTCATCAATTTTCCTAGGCCGCTTGACCACTGAGCTCCAGCCATCCGCTGTCCCCGCCTCCTCGGTGCTGAGGTTGGGGACAAGAGGCACATGCGTGTCCAGCTTTTGTCGCACTGCTGATAGAGACTCAAACTTAGGCCTTCATGCTCGCAGTTTCTGCCTTTGGATTTCTGTCCTTCCTCTCATTGTCTTTATAGAATGGGTGTTCACTTGTTAGCTTTATGGTTCAAGTAGAGACAAGCAAATACAGGTAGTTTCCACCTTAGAGAGTACTGAGTGCCAATATCAGTAAGGCATATTCTATATACTGAGAGCTGTATCCCTCTAAATTCTGACCCAGTCACCATGTGAATCAGTGAGGCATATTCTATATACTGAGAGCTGTATCCCTCTAAGTTCCGACACTGAAGACCCAGTCACTATGTGAATGCATGGGGAGATGGGAACTTGTTTTTTTTTTTTTTAAAAAAAAAAGATTTATTTATTTATTTATTATGTATATAACAGTCTGCCTCCATGTCTGTCTGCACGCCAGAAGAGGGCACCAGATCTCATTACAGATGGTTGTGAGCCACCATGTGGTTGCTGGGAATTGAACTCAGGACCTCTGGAAGAGCAGTCAGTGCTCTTAACCTCTGAGCCAGGGAGATGGGAACTTTATGAAGATCAAATGCAATCATGAGACTGGGATCCTTGAACTACTTTTACATGGTCCTGGGAAAGAGTGATCAACTGATGCTATTATGTTGCTACAATTTTTTTTTTCTTTCAAGACAGTGTTTTTCTGTGTAGCTTTGGAGCCTATCCTGGCACTCGCTCTTGTAGACCAGGCTAGCCTGGAACTCACAGAGATCTGCCTGCCTCTGCCTCCCGAGTGTGCTGGGATTAAAGGCATGTGCCACCAACGCTCAGCTGTTGCTACATTTTTAATTAAAAAAAAAAAAGATTTGGGCCCTCATCTTCTAAAACTAATATCCTACAAGGAGCACAGATGCAATCTTTCTGTGCAGAGAGGTCATAGGGGCACAGAGCATGATGGGTACTATGTACAAACCAAGAGAGCAGCTCTATAATTTAGCTGCTGGGTAGGCACTTGATCTTGGGTATCCTAGCCTCTGGAACTGTGAGCGATACACAAGTTAGCTAACCAGTCTATGGTATTTTATATGGCGACCCTGAATGACTAAGGTACCACTTGCTTGCTTCCTACAAGTCAAGGCTGGACTCCCATTCTAGGCCACCAAATTATTTGCGTGCTTGAAACAGATGTAGTCTCATGATCTTGACTGCTGGGGATCTTGGGGGAATATGAAGCTCTATATGTCTAGTTTTTCTTGGTCCCAGAGAATCAACCAGATCTCCAACAAGACACACTTTACATTTCAGGGGTTGAGTGCTTGGTCATGATGGGTATGACTGACATCTAGAGATGTCAGAAACCCCCTTAATATCACAGCAGTATCTGTGGCCTTTAGTGGTAACAAAGGCCAGGTATCTTGAACATACGCTTCCACGCTTGGCTGCAGATACACTGCAGCTACTAACACTGGCTCCCATGCACAGCTGGAGCACACGGTGAACTGCAGCTGGAGATGAACAACACCCAGACCCAGCTTTGTCATGTTTTGATGTTCAAAATCCTAGGAGCTCTGTCCTAGCCTCATTACTGTGGGCAGGGCTAGGCTACTGTAATTATTCCCACAACATGGTTTCCTGTCAAGGCATCTCAGAGGTTGTCAGCATTTCTTTGAGGGCACACGAGTTCATGTGTGTGGAGGCCAGAGCACGACGTCAGATGCAGTTCCTTAAGTGCTCTCCTCCATTCTTCTTGTATATATGGTGCATGTGCATGCGCGCACACACACATGTGTGTGATGGTAAACTTGGAATCTGTACTCCGGTACATAAGCTTGTGTAAGCAAGTATGTTACCCACCGAGCCTGCTTATCTGTCAGAGGCAGGATCTCTCCCTGGCTTGGAACTTTCCAAGTAGGCTAGAGTGGCTGTCCAGCCAGTTCCACAGACCTTGTTTCTGCCTCCATAGTACTGGGATTGCAAGTGTGGGCCAAATTCCTGACCTTTTGTATATGTTCTGAAGCTTGAACTCAGGTCAAGCAGTTTACGGATGGGCTACCTCCTCAGACTGTTTCCCTGCACACTTTTGACATTCCCCACCATGGGGGAGTATAGCTCTTCCTGGAGCTGGTGGTCCTGCCCTCCACCCCCAGGAGGCTCCAGGCCCCACGGTGGCTGGTTCCTTTCCTGATGGTACCCACAAGTCCTGGAAAGGAGGCTCACTTTCAGACCTCAGTGATGCTCTTCCTTTCATGGGGACATATGACTGGTCTCCCTGGGCCAGAGAAAAGACCATGTGACATGGAGCTGAGAAAGCAAAAGGGACCTTGAGTCTGTGCCTGAGAAGGGACACTGGGCAATGAGCCTTCAGGGCCTTGCAGGGAATGGGCTGAACCCTCCCCGACCCTTTTCATCTATCTCCTGCCTGCCCAGAGGGGCCACTGGAAAGGAGGAAGTTTGAAATACCCAAGTCCTGTCTCCCCCAAAATATGTTTTATTCTTGCATTACATTTGTGTTTCCAATTGTGAATAAAAAAATGGTTAGAAAGTGGTTACAAAACAGCGTGAGTGGACTAGAGGAGTGGCTGCCCTGGAGTCTGTCACTTCTTCGCCTGGATGATGCAGTGTGGGCCTGGCGTAGAGGCCGGCTCAGTCGGGTTTTTCACTCTCAGGATCTAGAAAACAAAATGGCCACAGCTCACTACAGACCTCCGAGGCACTGGCCTGTCACCCAAGGCTGGGCCCTGATGCCCGTGCACACAGCCCTGCCTAGGCACCTGGCCCCTTCCCAGAAGTTACTAAAACAAGGTGGAATGGTGGGCCACAGCCATGCCAGGATGAGACTGCATTGTACAGAGTCCTGTTCTCTGCACAGAGCATGGCTGACTATCACCTGGATCTCTTCCTCTAAGAACAGCCAGACACTCAGCAATGACCACTTACTACCAGAAAGACAAGGCCTCACCCCTGTTCCACTGGGCCATCCTGGACTGAGCTGGTTTTGGGGTCCTGGGAGAAAACAGTGATCTTCAATTTCTGCTTCTGAATAGGATCAGTGCCAAGATGAGGCACAGTAACACAGCTTCGGGGGTCTTCGAAGAGGCATAAAGCCGAGTGCTGTATCTTGAGACAGCCACGTCTAGCAGAATGGACCCCATGTTGTCAGGGCCATGTGAGCACACACACAAGGCTGTCTATGAAGGGCTTGTTGGACCACCATAGCACAAGCCTTCTCCCTAAACCATCCCCTTTCATAATGGCCTCAGCTCCCTGAAAAGCTGGTGCCTCTCATTTGACCCTTGCCCAACTCTACCCAAGAAGCCCAAGAGCCTGAAGCCCCACCAACCATGAGGAAGGGGCAACAAGGAGTTCCTATGACTCACACAAACTGGGTTTTCTAGGACCTAGTACCAGCTATGACGGGACTGGAAATGCAGTCCGTTTTCTGTGAGATGTACCCTTTCTACCTACACTTCTGAAAGCAATGCAGATGCAGAGTGGCTTGCGGCCCAGCCAACAGCCTGCAGAGTAGGCTGCAATGCCAGGCTCCAGATAACAACCTGGTGATAACAGGCCTGGGCCACACCCAGCAGGTGCAGACTGGCAACTCCAGAGGCTTGGCTCTTGTCTCCTAGCCCTATGAGCTCCACCCTCCGGGGTACAGGACTCATGGCTGCTGGCTCCAAGCAGAGGCCAGGACAGGCCCACCTAGGCAACCCACACCTGTCTTTTATAAGGCCAGTCAGTTAGGCTTTGGTAGAGGGCAAGAAAAAAAGCTGTCATCTCACAGTATTTTCAAGCAAACGTTTATTTTTCTCCTTCACACATACAGTCTCTTAGGGATCCCATGCCGCTAGTGTCATGGTGGGAAAGGACTTGGGCGAGACAGGAGTGAGAGAAGGCAGGTTCCACCTCACTAGGAAGTGGGCCTGTGTGGTTTTCAGACCAGACACAGAGAACAGAAATCTCTTATTGCAGTATTGTGGTCTGGCAGAAGACTCTGCTCAGCCCCCTGAAAATTCAATTCTAACTGAATTGATGGAATAGTGTATTTAAACCAAAATAATTTAGCTGGTTCTCAGGAGTACAGCTTAACTGTACAGTTCACATCGGAGTCACCCCAGGCAGTTCACCCTCCAATCGGAGGCATAAAACATTTGCCCAGAGGGAGTCAGGGGACTTTCATCTCCCCCCAGGACAAGTGTCATGGAAACCTCCAGAAATGTTCCACCCCTCAGTAGGCAGGCCTGAGGATGGCCTGGAGAGGAATTTGCAGGGTAGCATGGGCAGAGCACAGGTCTTTGTGAAAACCATGGACAAGGGAATGAGTGGGGGCCCCTGAGCTGAATGGTGGTGTTTGTCTGCATGGCGCTCCTAACAGCCTGCTGGCTATCAGGGCATTCACCAGTTTGTTTCTTGGCAGGATCCTCATGGCTCAACAAAGCTGCTGACACTCCTCACAGGGAGAACAACTTCAGGTGGGCCCTGTGGCTCTGTTACTGAAGGAGCCCAGGGTGACCTTGCCCTATCAAATGCCGAGCTCATCCAGCATTTTCGGGTCACATTGTCAAGGTTCACTTTAGTTTCTGTTTTTTTTGTTTTTTTGTTTTTTGTTTTTTTAAAGAAGGCGTTTACATGAGAACTAACCATCAGCCTCTTATCTGTACCTCATTCCCATCTCTACAACATGACACAGTGGACACAGCCATGCACATGACAACTGAAATGAAAGTCACCTTTGCTGACCAATGGCCTTTTTAAACATGTCTTTCCATCAGGAAACAGAAAGGCTGGAATTCAAGGCACTGGGCTGCTGCAGGGGATGGTGAGGTTCTAATCCTCAGTGAAGGGCAGGCAATGGGTGTGAAGACACTGCCTGTGTAGACTGCAGGGACCTAAGAGTGATGGGGTCTGAGGCAGCAGGGGAAGGGTCTTGCTGCCCTCTCATGTCCCCTGGGATGGGGCTCTGTGCCCTGTACCCATGTGGAGGAGCCATGAGGAGGCCAAACCACAATTGGGCTCTTCCACACACTTCAGAGTGATCCAGCTGGGCCAGGGCAGGGCGGAGGGCTACGTGGCATGCAGCCGGGGGCCTGGCATGCTGATAACAGGCGGCCGAAGGAACCCTGGTAGCAGAGGGACCTTAGTGGGGCTCTGACTGCTCCAAGCCCCCTGTGGGTTCCCTGAGGCCACCCAGGGCCCCCAGGACACAGGAACAGGGAGCAGGCCTCCATACCGACTCAGAGGCGGTGCACAGGGAAGGCCTGAGAGGCTGGCGTGGACAGTACCTGGTATGGGCACAGGCAGGGCTGGGGTGGCTCCAGGAATGGCTGTGGTGGACAGAGGGCCAGGTGCTGGGGCCAAACACGGTATCCCCACTCCTGCTCGAGGCACAGTTGTCTATGAGACAGAAACAAAGAGGAAGGCACAGCAGCTGCAGTCAGTTGGTCTCCTTGTGTAGTCCAAGTGTTGGTGTGGGAAACAGCTGACCTCCCTCCCCTGCCTGCTACATTGAGGTCTAGGCACCTGTGGGCCACAGGCTCCAGCTGTCCACAAGCCATAGTGGGTTTGGAGAAGAGACTGCAGGGTGTGGAAGGGTGCATGAGCAAGTCACACTTCACCCAGCTGACACCATGGTGTCTGTCTGGTTCGATGGCCTAGTAACACTATGCACCTATAGGAGCCCAGAAGGCGTGTGGGAGTGGGACTCTGGGGCAGCACACCATGCTCTCAGCCTTAGAGGCAGAGGAAGGAGCAGTCGATGGCTTCCAGAAACAGCAGCTCTGATGGCGGGACTGGATGTGACAACAGCGAGAGAGATTAAGAACTAGCAGCCTGCAGCACCTAAACAAAATAGTTGGGAAATCCAAGACAGTAACTATAAAAGGTTTAGCACCATAGTCCAGTGGACTCTGATGCCTCTCAGAGACATTCCACCTTATTCCAGGAGAAGCCACACTGGAAGGGATATGCCAGAGTTCCCTGGCGAGCACTTGACTAGCATGTATAAGGCCCTGGCTTCTATCCTCTGAACCACAAACACTTATGACAATATAACCCTGTCCAGTGTTCTCCACACAAGGCAGGATGGAGACTTGCCAACTCCCACGCCCTTTACAGAAGGCATGCTCAGCAGCAAAGGCTGCCTTGCTGCCAGGAGCCATACCTGCAAAGGGGGCAACGTTAGGAGCCCCCCCCCCCACAAGGCTCCTTCATGCTTCTGGTCAACACTGCAAGGGGACCCAGCCAAAGTGAGACAAGAAAAGAAAAACTGTATAATTGCAGATGACAAGATTATGTGTAGAGAAACCCACAGGAAAGGCTGAACAAGCAAATTTTGCAGGACCATAGGTCTCTAGGCACCAGAATTGGTCACATTTCCACGTACTAGAAACACACAACTGGGACACACAGTTTCCAGGACTGCACAGTTAATAAAAGCACTCCCAATTGTCAACCACCTTGGGATGGACTTAATGAGAGAGATTAACATTCTACAGAGATGTAAAGAAACAGATGCCAAGTCCATGGAACACTGAAGACTGGTGATATGGTAAACCTACTCAGTTCATTGACAGACTCAATCTACTGCCAAGAGAAATTCCAGTGGGTTATCTGAGACCTGCAAATATTTAGGACCCAGAAAGATCAAGAGACTCTTGAAGTTCAACAGTAGATGTCCTATCCCACCAAATAATAAGCTTTTTATGAAGCTGCAGTAAGGCAATGAGAGGGCTGTTTGCATGCAGTTCAGACCAGAAAGGAAGGTACCACAAGGAGTACCTTATGGCTCACATAACAGCTAAAACAGCAAAACTTTCAGAAAAAAAAAAATCAAACTAAACGTCTTCTGTTTCATGCTCACCACTAGGAAAGTAAAAGAGGGTGCTGGGGATCTGTGTGTAAGTGTGAGGAGCTGAGCTCAGACTCCTAGTGCCTGTAGCCTGGTGTGGTGCCATGTGTCTGTAACCCCAGCACTGGGGAGGGGCAAAGACAGGAAGATGCCTGGAGCTTACTGGTCAGGCAATCTAGCTAACTGGTGAGCAGCAGGCTCAGTAATAGAGAGACCCTGTCTCAAAACAGGGAAGGTAAGAAGGGATAGAGAAAACACTAAATGCTGACACTTGGCTTCATAAACTTGTCCACACATAAACATGTGCATACATACAATAAGAGAGTGAGAGAGAGAGAGAGAGAGAGAGAGAGAGAGAGAGAGAGAGACAGAGCACACTTTGGTAGAATATATATGTAACATAAGACAAAACAGCTATAACAGAGTCCCACAAATCAGTAATAAAAAGATAACTTTTAAATGGTTAATCATCTTGACCAGGCTTTGGTAGAATATATATGTAACATAAGACAAAACAGCTATAACAGAGTCCCACAAATCAGTAATAAAAAGATAACTTTTAAATGGTTAATCATCTTGACCAGGCACTCTATAGAAGATGCCTGTTAACAATAAAAAAATGTGCTCAAAGGCAAATCAAGACAACAAAAAAATTCAAGATTTCAAATTATTTTTACAAACAATTTTTCCAAAACAATGTCTCTCATATAATATTAAAATCTCGAAAGGCAAGACAAGGAACTAAGGAGCAGAGCTGTGGGGAGAAGAAAACAGGAAACTAGAAGACACTGTATAAGTAAGATGCACCACCGAAGCATTTGCCTGAGAACTATAAACTTTAAAAAGTGATTTATTTATTTTTATTGTATGTACATTAGTGTTGTGCCTGCATGTATGCCTGTGTGAGGGTGTAAGATCCCCAGAACTGAAATTACAGACAGTTATGAGCTGCCATGGGGCAGCTAGGAATTGAACCTGGGTCCTTTGGAAGAACAGCCAGGGCTCTTAAGCACTGGGCCATCTCTCCAGCCCCAAGAACTGTAAACTCTTTACATTTTTATTTATCTTCATTTATGTGTATGTGTGTCTCTGGAGGTGTCCATGAGGACATGAGGGCCCTGGATGCTCTGCAGCTGGAGTTAAAAGCAGTTGTGAGCCTTGAGACATAGGTGCTGGGAACTGAACTTAGGTCCTTTGTAAGAGCTAGAAAGGCTAGAATTCAGTGGCCTATCCAATTTAAGAAGTTTTTCTTTTTCACTCTAATACTGGGGGCCCAAACCAGGGTCCTTACTAACATTAGGAAAACACTCTGCCATTGACTCACAGTCAAACGTAAGAATCTTTCTAGAGATCATTAAGCCAGAGAGAGAAAGAAATATAAGGATTAGAAATGAATGAAATAGGTAACAAAGAACATCATCAAAGATAATATAGTTCTTTAAAATGGCTCGTGAAATGAAAAAAGCCTTTAGATATAAGAACAAAAGGCAGGAGGGGAAGGAAGGACAGGCACACAGAGGGGAACTGAGACAGAGAGAGACGCAGAGAGAAGTGGGGAGGCATAAATTGCCAATACCAGGAATGACATAGCTTGGGATCATGCAAACAGCAACACAGGGCATTGCAGTGATTAAATGGCAACTGATTTGAAAGTTTAAGCAAATTTAGGGATGAGGTGGCAGTTACCAGGAAAGCAGAATTTACCAAGACTATCAAGACAGAACACCCAAATGGTGTTAGAAGTGGAAAAGAAACCGGGTTCCTAAGGCAAGCCTTCCCCAAGAGACAGACAGATATGTGATGAGCTCTGCCAGCGTCACCTACTGTAGGCAGTGCATGCGATGTTCACTGCAGGCTTCCAATTCCCTTGCGTGTTTGGGAAGATTCAAAGCCTAAGTTCACAGAGGGGTGTTTTCCACACTAAGAACAACACCCACAAGATACTTCAGCCCAGATGGACTCATCTGTGAACTTCATGAATCATTTAAAGTAGAAATAACACCAACCTTCCAGAAATTCCTCCCAAAAGCTGGCAAAGTGGGGACATTCCTACAGCTAGCTCTCCCAAAATCTCAATGTGTGCCAAGACCTGCGAGGGTGACTACTTGCCCTGTCCCATGTTGGCTCCAGTTGGATGTAGTTGCCACTCAGGAGTGAGGAGTAGAACACTTAACCTTTATACAGCCTGGAGACAGATGGCGGTATGTGTGTCCACAATGAGGGTGTCTTGACCACTTGGGGCTGCTAATTCAGGGATTCTGCTGTACCTGAGTTCTAAGTCCAGGCTCAGCCTGGCCCCTGATGGCCGCAAGTACCACAGGAAGTCACTTTTACCTCCCAATCATTACAGGGACAGAGGCCTAATTTTTTGTTTGTTTGTTTTTTTGAGTCAGGGTTTTTCTGCATAGCCATGGCTGTCTTGGAACTCACTCTGTAGATCAGGCTGGTCTCAAACTCAAAGATCCGCCTGCCTCTGCATTCTGTGCTGGGATCAAGGGTGCGCACCACCACCACCCAGGAAGGCTCAATTCTTTTGGAGAAGATGGACCCTGATCATGAAGTACTTAGCATGATGGCCATCGGGCACATAAGATTCCATCACTAGCTCAGGGCCACAGCTACCGTGTCCCTCCCAGTAGAGCCTGTGCCCATGCTCACTCACAGCCCGTGCCTCGCCAGAGGCCTCCATGTCATGCAGCTTCTGTGTCTGCTTCAGCTGGTTGAGCGTGGGCTTCAGCTGCGCTGCCCCCATCGTCTTTGTTGTCCACTCGTCCACCAGCTTGTGCAGATCATCCGTGAAGGTGCCTTTCTTGTTGTTGCTGTTGTTCACCTGTGCCTGGACGTGCAGGGTGGGCTGGGGACCTGGCTCAGGGCCTGGGGCCAGGCTGCTGGTGGAAGACCCTGGGGAGTCACATAGGCCAGGATTGGTGACGTCACGCACTCACTCAGCACCACTGACAGGCTGGCCGCAGTCACTCACATGATGGCTGGGATAATCAATGGCTTCACTCTGGCCAAGCAACACCTTGCTTCAAGAGGTGGTCTGCATCAGTGGGCCTTGCTGCCTGGTGTTAGACACCATGAGATACTGTGTAGGCTATGGGTGACTGGGCTGTGCCAGGCAGCCTCACTTGTTTCTTAAGCCTGGCCAGGGAAGAAGACCCCAAGCAGTTGGCAGTCTCCATTAAGAGTCCACCACTGCATATCCCACTAGACTCATATATATGAGAGCATGGGGAATTCATGGCACAGCCAGATACACATGGGCACTGGCATCCCAGGGACATGGTCAGATCCCCGGGGCAGTCTCTGGCCTACTTTGCAGAAATGCTCAGTACCCAAGTGCCACCACCAGCCTTCCAGCACCCCCTGAGCAGACTATTCATTGTGTTCCTGTGTATTTTGGTTGCTTAATAGTTGGAACTTAAGACAAGGAAATGGTGCCTTTTCTCATCTGATCATGTGGAAAGGTGGTAATGAAAGATACCACACCTAGAGTCCCTCGGGTGGGCTCCACACCCTCCAGGCCACAGCTTGGTGAAACTGAGAGGCAGGAAGCCAGGATTCGCTCTGCAGGCTAGAGAGCTTGGCTGCTTCTATGAAAGGCCGTTTTTGTGGACAACACAGGACTTATTGAATTGCCTCCTCCCCTCCTCCCCCTACCCATGCACGTAATTTCACCTAGCAATTTTGAATAAGCCAATTTAAAATGTTTATACACCTCACCAAAAAACCCAAGCAGCTAATGACCATCTCTTCAAACAAGCTGTTCCAAAAGGTAGTGAACTTTAGTGGCCAGCAATGGGAAAGCATAAACAAAGGATTACACGTTAGTGATGAGACTCAACACACAGCTATTGCTACATGAGGTTTTCAGCTGGGGGGGGGGAGGATTATATATATTTAAAAAAAAAGGCAAAAAAGAGCAAAAGAGCAAAGGAGCAAAGGGGTGTGTGGGAGTGGCCCAGATTGACTAATACCCATCCAGTCTTGGTATCTCTCCTCAGGAAGCACTCATAGTTAAAACTTCAAAGAAACAATGATGCGGAGGACAGGCCTATTAAGAGGTGACTGGCAAGATGGCACAAACTCTAGGAACCATGGAGACACAAAGAGGAGCTGGGAGGGAGCAGCTATCCAGACAGGCAGAAGCGAAGCAGAGCCCTGTGGGTCAGGGGCAGACAGGTCACACTTTCTCGGGAGGCCCTGATGTGCACTAGCCACGACAAAGCCCATGCGATGAGAGGGGACAAAGGGGGTAAAAAAAAAACAAAACCCAGATAATTACTACTGCTGTGTTCTTTGCCTAGGCAGAGACGCTTCAGGGCTGACCCTGTAAGGGAAGAACAGAGGACACAAGACCACAGGGTTAGGCAAAACAGCACACCGATCACACCACCACATGTAAGCAAAAGTCATCAGTGTGCAGGGAGGGACAGACACAGCCAGCAGTTGGCGAGGGAGGCCAGCCTGGCCTGGGAGAACGAGAATGGGGTGGCACCCCCAGAGTTCGTGTGTAGGCTTTCATGGCATTCGCTGAGGAGGCAGAGGCGCCAGGGCAAGCCCCAAACTTCAGGGAGAAGGGTTTTGTCTCTAATAGCATACTTCGGAAAAAGAGAAAAAAGAAAAACAGAAAACCAAACCAAAAAAAAAAAAAAAAATCACAAAGCACACTGCTTGGGTTTCAAACACCAGGCCTTTGGGATCCCCACTGGTTGAGGCAGGGAAACCCACTGAAAGTCAGCCATGGGGTCCTGGAATGGAGCCAGGCTCAGCCTGGGCTGGCCACCAAGGCCACGAGAGGTTTTCCAAGTGCAAAAAGATACATTGTTTTGTAGGTCTGAGGCCAATTCTGGATCCCAGATGGCTGCTTTGGACCAGGTCAGAGGGGATATTAGTCTGTCTTGGGGTTGATACGGATTTGGGGAGACGCCATGCCTCTTTTCTACCAGTTCACTTTCCCTAGGGACATGGGAAACACCCTTACTGGACCACCACTAAAGCAGCTCTAGCCCTACTGTCCTGAATCTGTCTGGGGTCACGTGGGCAACAGACAGAATGCGACATCTGGCAGAGTTTAGAGGGGTGGAGTAACCCAGTGACCCAGGGCCAGCCTGGGCTACAGTGTGTGCTGCTATTCTGTCTTAACCTAGGGCCTTTCTGTGAGCTACAACTGGCAAGGAAGAACTCAGACTTCCCCAAGGTCACTTGGCAAAGCCACACTAGCACAGCAGGTCTGTACTCCAGCCCCTAGCTCCCCCTCTCCTAAACACAGTCCCAGGAAGGGGGTGCTCCCACATACAGCACTGGCTCATGAGTTAGCTAGTCTAGAGGTTTGGGAAATCTGAACCCTTATAACTTTTCTAGAAGGGCTGGTACTCTTGCCCCGAGGGGTAGGATAGTGCATAAATGCTGGCCACACCCTGGCCAGAGTTCAGTCCAAGCCGTGTGTTACTGGACCTGAAGCAAGCTACAATGGAATTGACGGATTTAGTTTATCCTGTATGGTTTCTAAGGCTGGGGTGGGAAAATGCAGTGTTTTGTTAAGTAATTCAGTTTTCAAATGGAGAGGTGGGGAGATAAACAGGAGGGATCTGCAAGATACTGTGTGTTGGGGGAGGGAATCTCAGTCTACTTTTGGAGGAAAAGGGGCTGTGGATTGGGGACTCAGTCCTGGCTATTGTCAGACTGGGCAGAGTGACAGATGGACTGCTGTGGCTGGCCTTCCTGGATTCCAGACTCAAGTGACCATGGCCATCAGCTCCCATCCTCCATATTTCTCCTGGATTGGCTCCAGATGACCAGAGTAGGCAGTTCCAGTCTCTGGACAAATCAGCCAGTGTTTGTCATTCTATGTCAACACTAAGGCCACACTGCTGTTTGGCAGGACTTGGTGCAGAGCCTCAGGGGAGCATCCAAGACTCTATGTTGACAGTTCTGCATATCCCTAGATGGCTCCCAATATATCATGGGCAGTGTCTCTACCTGGGGCATCTGATGAACAAACTTGGCCCCATCTCTACTGTGCCAGGATAGATACTCCCAGGCTCTTGCTGCTCCCCAGAGCACTGGGTGAGTAGACCAGGCCAGCCAGAGGCACGATGGTTTCAACCAGTCCCAGCCTGGTCTCCCTGGATATCCCGCTTGCCCCTGCAGCGAGGTGAGTTTTCTGCACAACACTTTGGTTCAAACCATGAACTACTTGTGGGTTGACTTCTCAACAAGGACTTCTCAAGCATGGCAGATGCAAAAGCTCAGGAGGAGAGTCTAGGACAGATACTTAAAAGGGGCTCCAGCCTGGAGCAGACAGATCCTCACATCTGTTCTCTGCACCACAGTATTCAAATATTGACGAGGCTCACGGGAACAGGCCTCCTCAGGGAGTTAGCCCTCCTGGGACCAGGAAGCTCCCACACCCAGTGTTTCCTATAGCTAGCCAAGATGGCTAAGGTTCATCCCCATCCCAGCTTCCCACAGGCCAGCTCTAACCATGGACCACTAGCCCCACACCCACCTGCACTGAATCCTGATATCAAAGGCTAAAATACCCCCAGAGCTGTTTCTATATTGAACAATCCTATTCTCAAGAGGAGACAATAACTAAAAACTACCCATGACGCATCAGTTCAGAAACAAGTTGTCTCGGTTCAATCCAGCATGGTTTAGGGACATTTTTACTTGGCCTTGAGCTGCATAACCCTGGGGCTTACAGAGCATGGAGCTAACAGGCCTGCTTTCACAGCTGTCAGGGGTAAGTCCAGGCTACGGAGTATGTATGGGGTCTCCTGTATGCTCTGTTGGGGGACCTCACAGGACTCTCTCTCACCACCAGCAAGAGATAAGAGCAACACAGAGAGGAAGAGGGCTGGGAAGGTTTTAGAGGGTTCCTGCACTGGGTTTGAGGCAAATGAGAACAGGATGAGGGGATAACACACTGTGAGACCTCATGTGTCTTATGGCACAGCAAGAGACAAGAGGTGCCCATGCCTGCCTGAGAGTGGGTAGGATAAAAAGAAGCGTCTCAGTAGGCTGCACCCATGGTTGCTCAACAACAGATGCCCACGTGCAGCCTTGGACCTCTCCTCCTCAATTCTATATATGGCCATTGTTTTTCAGGGTAAATATGATGGACTCGGTGCCACTGTCTACCACAGAGAGGGACATGCAAGCGAGTCATTGGGTCTGTGCCAGGACCCTGCCCAGGCTGGGAGAAGGGAACTGACACAGGGTCTGCACTCCCTGCAGGCCTATGGCCTATGGCGGTTTGAATAAGAATGGCCCGACAGGATCATATATTTGAATGCTTAGTCATCAGGGAATGGCACTACTTGAGAAGGATTAGGCGCCCTGGCCTTGTTGGAAGAAATGTGTTACTGCAGACAGGCTTTGAAATTTCAAAAGCCCAAGCCAGGCGCAGTATCTCTCTCTTCCTGCTGCCTGTGGAGCCAGACACAGAACTCTCAGCTCCTTCTCTAGCACCAAGTCTACTTGGTGCCACCATGTCCCACCATCATGATAATGGACTAAGCCTCTGAAACTATAAGCAAGCCCCAGACAAGGCCTTTCCACCCGAGGCCCATCTCCACCTGCCCCCTGTCTTGTGTTCAGCTCAGCCTTTGGAGCTCTCTGATGCTCTGCCTGGAATCAGAGACAGGCCCTCCAGCCCACCCAGTGACTTGAGCTCAGCCTGCCCTTCTGGGGCTCTTTCCTTCTCTGGAAGCCCAGATCTTTCTGTACTCAAAGTTTAAAGAATATTTTGTTTTCTTAGAGCCTTCTGTCTCTAGGAAGTAGGGGTGTCACATACCAAAGACATGAACTGGAACTGTCTAGGCTTGAACAAGGTCACCCCTGGTCACCCAGCTTCACAGAGGTAGGCATACTCTAATATCTTACCAGCTACCTGCAGACTCTGCCTGCCCCCAAAGCCCTTCTCTCCTCCCAGCCTCCTGGCCAGGCTCCACCCTTCTACCAGTTGTCCTGCCATCCCTGAAGCTCTGATCGCCCCACCCCCACACCCCATGCTCAGTTCTCACAGGCCTCACATCTCAAGGACACTCTGCAGTTTACCCAGAAACCAGCAGCACATAGACAGAAACAAATGGAAGTCTCAATGAGAGGCCTAGATCCCTAAAGCTCCGAGGCCAGCAGCATGAAGGATAAAAGGGCCTCTAGGGCTTCATTTCCACAGCACATGTGGGCCCAAGACTCTCCCTACTATGTACCACTACGAATGGTGCCAGAGCAGGGACTCACCTAAGCTCGCCTGGCAGCCGCTTGAGAACATATAGGGCCATAGAATGCTGAGCCAGCCCAGCCTGCCTTGACAGGCCAGGCTGTGGACCAGCCACCCATGTGCAGACAACACCACACGTGAAACAACCTGGCCAAGTCTGCTCAGATGTTCCTTCCTTCTGGTCCCCTCTCCCCACTTTTTTTTTTTTTTAATCTCAGGCCAATAACTCACAGTAAAACCAATGAACACCATTTGAAAACATGACCTGAAATAGAGAAGTTGTTCTCAGAGACATGACTGTGATCACTGTGACACCTAGTGACCATCCTCATATAAGTTGTGTCCCCACCAGGCACAGCCGGGAGAGGCATTAGGCAAGCAGGAGCCAGAACAAAGCTGGTGGGTGAGAACAGACTCTACCTGCTGCAAAGATATGAGGGATGCACAAAGGGAGCCCTCCCAGCCCGTCTCGTCCTCAGCTCAGTAACTGACCAGAAGCTAGAGATGCACTGCAAGCCAGATGTCACTGTGCCACCAGTGGGCAGACTACAGAAGACAAGAAGATGTCGGGAAGCCCCTGGCACTTCCACATAGCCCTGTGCCCTTGACCCGTCCACCTGAAGAAGGACCTCTGATGCAGGGAGTAGGGAATGGCAATGGTCTCCTACCACAGACATGGTCTCTGGGTCCCCACAAGCACAATGTATCTTTATTGTACAAGCAAAAAGTCATGTGCCCCAAACCAGCATCTCCAAACCAATTGTCAAAAAAAAAAAAAACTATTTTTTTTCTGTTAAAAAGACAAAAATCTAAAAGCTCCACAACTTTGGATTGATTTGCCAATCATTGTGAGGGTTAAAAACAAATCACACCAAGGGGAGTTGGCCCCAGCAGGTGATCATTCCTGGGTACTAGAAACACATCCCAGGCTGTGTGAGGAAGGCTGGCACTGGGTTTGAGTCTGGTGGAAGTTGGAGGAGCTGCCTCACTGGCTTCATCCCTCATGTCACATGGGTCAGCTGAAGACTTATAGAACAGAGTGTTCCAGCTGGGTGGGAAAGAACAGGGACCCAGGCAGGATGTAGGCTCCAACGCAAGAGCTATGTGGAATGGGGCAGGTATCTATTCATCTTTTTGAGTTGGAGTGAGCCAGGGTGGGGAGAGATGGTAGAGGGGACTAGCCCTCCCTGCATGGTGGGGTAGAGGACCAGGAAGCCCTAGCTGGAGTAAGTTCTTTGTTTTGCAGTGCAGGGCATGGGACCCGGGGCCTTTCTTTGGCATGCTAGGCAAGCGCTGTGCCACTGATTTATTCCCCCCAATACCCCTGAAGCACATTTTTAGCATCTCCTCATGCAGGGAGTGGGAAAGAGGGTGGAGATGGGGTTGGGAGCTGGGCTTTGGCCCTACACAGACGTCCCTGAGTCCAGGGACCTTAGGGCTTTATCAGTGGGAGTCCAGGTATGTAACACACTGGGTATCTGGAGAAGGTTGGGGTTGTCTTTTTGTTGTCACTGAAACTGGGAGACAGCAGACATGTATGTTGGCCACAATTGCAACAGAAAAGAAAACTACGTCCAACATCCAAAGAACAGAACAGAAATGAGGTGATGGGAGGGTGCAGAGCGCCCTGGTATATGTGGGGTGGAAGAGGCAGGTATGCTGTTGCGCATGATTTTGGTGCCTGGGCGCAGCCAAGAGCACGCACACAGCTGTCTGCGGCTGGGTGACTACGGACACTGTGTGCAGTGGGAAAGGCTTGTGGGGTCCACCTTTTACATGGAGGAGGTGACTTCAAAGGGTTGGAGTGGCATCCTATGAAATGCATGAGAGGTAATGAAGACCAGTTGGGGAGGGGGAGAAACCAAGGGCCAGGAGGTGGGAAAATACAAAAGAACAAATACAGACAGATGGACACAGATACGGGTCCACTGAGGAATCGAGCACGAGGCTTGCTACTAGACTTATAGGCCCCTCTCTCAGACGTTGGGTGGTAAACCGTCCAGCCTGCAAATGAATATAAAGGGAAGAAAACAGAGAGACACTTATCAAGTAAGGTTGCTGCGACTCCTCCTCCACACCAACAGCCACACCAGCCTTGTAACTTAACATCCATGGCTCCATCTAGCCCAGCCCAAGCACCAAAGCCACTGACCACAGAATGGGAGGAGGCAACAGTAGGAGCAGAAGAGAAGCGGCCCGGAGGAGGAGGGGTGGGGCAGGTGGGGCACCTTTAACAGTCACCATGATTTCTCTGGACAGAGATGGTGAGAACAGGAAAACGCCTTATCGAGCAGCTGCTGCCATCCATGGCAGTGATGAGCCGACATCCCAGCCTGAGAGCTGAGCCCTTGTCCCCTAGCCGTCCTGTGGACTTTGGAAGGACCCGGTGTTTACCACCGACTGGCTCTGCTGTGGGAAGCGGGCAGGGCAGGGTAGCCAAGGCCTAGGAACAGGCATCGCAGAACACAGCAAGATGCCAGGCCCAGTTCCCTCCCCAGTCATCGGGCTGATCCCTCCTGGTCCCGGCCACTTCCTGAGGTCCACATTAGCAAACCCATCACCTGCCTCTGAGCCGCTTACTTGGCGGGACAATTCCATTCTTTGTATCCAAAGACTACATACATCTTCACATCTTTTTTCCCTCTTTTGTTTGTTTTTACGAAGCTGCTTAGCAGCCTTTGCTGTAGCTCTGGCCCCCTCTACACACACAGGCGTGCTCCTGGGACACCACTGAGGCCCTACGTGGCTGGCACATGCTTGGAGACAGGCAAGCTGGAAATCACCTTGGCCACGCGCTCCGCCTCCATCACTGGCTAAACCGGAGCAGATGTCTGTGGACAGGGAGGCCCGGACGGAGCAGGGCTGCTGGGTCTGAACTGCCTTGGTGCCCGGGGGCGTGCTGGCGTGGGCAGGGTCCTTAGTGGGAGGGCCTCTGCTGGAGTCAGACAAATGACCTGGGCGAGGGGGGGAGAAGAGGTGACAGGCACCATGAGGCGCCACTGGGCAGGGAGGGGTGTGGCTGGGTTGGCTTCCTGCTCTCTACTGGGTGACCGTGGGGAATTTGAGTCTCCTGAGGAAAACCAGTATACTGACAAGAAAAGAAAAGAAAGTGCTCCCCTTTAATAAATCCCAGTGCCATGCCAGACCTATGCTGTGCCAGTAAGTGGTGGATAATGGACAAGGGCTCAAAGTAGCCTTGCACGAGTCACTGCAGAGCCTCCTCCTAGTTTTGGGATTGGCACTGTGTATCACCTGTGTAGGTGGCTCACAATTAGGGAGTGCTTGCAGGTAGTGCACTAATGCCTTCCCATCTGTCATATTTGGAAACTCCCCCCTCAGAGTATAATCTGCAGCACAGCTCTGGAAGGCTCAAAGGAACCCTGACATGGTGCCTGGCCTCTGTAGCACAAGGGACTGGGTACCACTATTGCCAGGCCTGGAGAACAATCCATCTTCTCCTTGCCCACAAAGGCAGCCACCTGATACCCGTGAGCAGGAGATAATGTGTGCCTGAGTGATAAGGCCAGAGGAAGCAGTCATTTCCATCCATCCCAGGCTGTATCCTGCCATGGAGGAGCAGGGATGGGGTGGCTGGGGCTTCCTAGGTGCAATGTGGCCCCAAAGTGTATCCTTCCTTCCACAAGGGGTCAAGGCCTGGCTCCAAGAAGCCCCTATTCTCATACAGGCCTTTCAATATGGCCCTAGTGTGGAGGCCTGGGGCTTTCCTAGGCTTGCAGAGACTCTCAGCTCCAGGAAAAGGAGGTCCAGGAAAAGGAAAATCCCACACACTCTCCCAGGTCTGGAGATACTGCACCAACCCAGAGTTAGCCTCTCAGGCTAACTTGGGGTCCACCAGTACCCTCCCTGCTCAGCCCAGGTACAGCCCTCCCCTAGAAGCAGCAGACCTGTGCTGGAGGCCACGACCTTGAGCTGTTGCACCAGGGGGTTCAGCAGCTTGCCAGCCTTCAATTTGCTCTTGCTGGTTTTCCTCCTGCGGCCCATGGGAGGTGCTGTGTGGAAGAACCCCACATTGGGAGGGAGTGGCTTGCCCAAGCGGCGGTACAAGGCTTCAATCTCTAGCTTCTGCTGGCTCTGTAGCTCAGAGATTTCCTTCAGGTGCCTGGAGCAGGAGAGAGGAGGCAAGGCAGGTGGGCTTCCCTTGTGGGGAAAGGCTAGGCGGCTTTGTCTGCAGGCTTTCAACGGCACTATCTAAGCCAGGTGGAAACAAGGCAAAGGATGATGTTCAATGACAGTTCAAGTTTTCAGATATCTAGAATCATGACCACTAAAATTGTCTCAATAGCCAAGGAAGCAGGGATTATTCCTCACTTACACTTCTGCTTGCAATTAAAACCCTAGGTATCAGATCAGATAGAGAAAATTAGTAGATGCCCGGAGTCAAGACTACCTACCTTACACCAGGTCTCCTGTACCCACCCAAGGCTGGCCTCAAACTTGCTACATAGCCAAAGGTGAGATTAGACTCCTGCTTCTCCTGCTTCTACCTCTCAAGTGCTGGGATTATAGGAGTGTGGCACCATGCACAGCTGGCCTTCCTCTGTTTATTAGGTCAAGGTTATTATTTTCTCCACGCAAGGCAGCTGTGGAAGCTGGAAGCTGACTTAAAGAAGGGCCAGCACTGCATGAGACCTGTGGTTGGTGTTTGTTCCACTGGCGCTACTGTGGAGGGCCTACTGTCAAGGTTACAATGCAGGTGGAAGGCAGGTAGATTGATGGTGGGACAGGGTGTGGGCAGGGCAGTCTCTAGGACAGCTGGAGAACAGGATGTGTGGCCCCCTGCTGGGCCCTATGGGTCTCACTTGCCACCTCCCTTGCTACTCCCCGGCAGTGGTATCTGAACTTCACTGCACTTAGGAGGCCTGGTACCACCCCCAACACGAGGCCCAGACTATTTCTTCCATCTCTTGTGTTGGAGAAACAGGTGTTTTTTCACAGTTGGAAATGAGAAGATAAGCTCTAACCTTTCTCCTATATCTTCAATGGTGGCCAATCTTTTGTTTTAAGACAGGGTTTCTCGCCAGGCGTTGGTGGTGCACACCTTTAATCCCAGCGCTTGGGAGGCAGAGGCAGGCGGATCTCTGTGAATTCCAGGCCAGCCTGGTCTACAGAGCAAGTCCCAGGACAACCTTCAAAGCAATACAGAGAAACCCTGTCTCGAAAAACCAAAAAGACAGGGTTTCTCTATGTATTCCTGGCTGGTGTGGGGCTCAATATGCAACCCAGGCTAGCCTTGAACTTTCAGCAATTCTTCTAGCTCAGCCTCCAGAGTACTGCAATTGTAGGAGAGGTGTTAAGCCTAGCTTGCTAATTTTTTTTTATTAGTTCAAATTAGGAACAAGCATGCTTCACATGTCAATCCCTTTCCCCCTCCCTCCCCTCCCCACCCAGTCTCCCAGCCCATCTCTCCTCTGCTCCCCAGGGAGGGTAAGGGGTTCCCCAAAGTCCACCACATCATCGGGCCGGGGCTAGGCCCTTCCCTATGTGTTCAGGCCAAGAGAGCATCCCTTCATGTGGAATGGGCTCTCAAAGTCCCTTCTTACACCAGGGAAAAATACTGATCCACTACCAGGGGCCCCATAGAGTGCAGAGGCCTCCTCATTGACATCCATGTTCAGGGGTCTGGATCAGTCCCGTGCTGGCCTCCCAGACAATAGTCTGGTGTCGATGTGCTCCCCCTTGTTCAGGGCAGCTGTTTCTGTGGGTTTCACCAGCCTGGTACAGACCCCTTTGATCTTCATCCCTCCCTCTCTTCAACTAAATTCCAGATTTCAGCTCAGTGTATATCTGTGGATGCCTG